ATGTCACCAATGTGCAAACGACCAACTCGCCATTTCCTATTCGGCTTCCACTTAAGGGTTGGTCTGGTGCACGATGTCGTTCGACGATCTCCTCAGCGTATACCCAACCTATCTCAATTTTCTTCAACATATTTGTTGCACAATAGATTCTAGGTTAGTTCGTTCCCAGAATTGTTGGTTATCTTCAATATGATTTTCAGTATGCAGCCAGTGAAGGCAGCTGTTGATGAAAGCGTGCAACAACCTGTCTTGTTATCGATCAAGCATATTCCTATCTTCTCGGCCTCCAAAGTCTTTCGCATAATCCAGTCCACCAAAATTAGGAATATCGTTGGTGATAATGAGCAACATTGCCTCACCACTGGCTTCATTTCAAAGGCTTCTATGAATTTCCATTGTGAATCACTTGAAATATGGCACCTTCATATAGCTATCAAATCAGGTCGATAAAATGGTGGGCACTCCATATAGTTCAAGTAGTTTCCGAGTTCCTTCGCGATCAACGCCGTCGAACGCCTTTTCGAAGTTGACAGAGTTAAGCCACTGGTTTGACTACCATTCTAGGCTTTGTTTGATGACGATGCGTGGAGTTGCAATTTGATCAACATATGATTTGCCTTTCATGAATTCAGCTTGTTCCGAGAGGAGTCCTGTATCCTGTGCATCCTTTATTATCTCCAGGATGATGCAACATAACATTTTACTTGGCGTGGACAAGAGTATGATTCCACGCTGGTTCTCCCAGAGGCGTAAGTCGCCCTTCTTTGGTTACTTCATAAGGGAACCTTTTCTCCAATCAATAGGCATCTTTCCTTCCTTCCGAACCTCATAAAATAATGGCGTCATCATATCTATCGCAGTCTCTAGGTCCGTTTTCGGTGGTTTGGGAGGGGGAATTCTGTCTGGCCCTGCTGCCTTCCAGGCCGGTCTTCAGTAGCTTGATTGCATTCAAGACTTTCGTTTGAGGACTAGTGTCCACTGGAATTTCTGTGGCTGTTGGTTGTATCTCTGGACAGGTTGCAGGCGACGGTCATTTCAAGTCCTTTAAAGTGATAAACCCATTGTTTTATTTTTCTCTTCTTCTTGGTTATCAGGTTCCCGTTAACATCTCTTATAGGTTTCATCTGTGTTGATCTCTTCCTGAATAGAGAACTGGTTATGTGATATAAAGTTCTGAGGTATGTTTCACCTGCGGTTTTTTCTACTTCAGTTGCCAATGTGCCGTGGAATTGTCCTTTGTCTTTCCTAGCACTCTTTTTCACCTCTGTATTCAGTGCAGTATGCATTAAAGTCAGCTTCTCCTTTCCCTCTCCATATTCATATTGGTTCGTCTTCTGTTTCGCCATCCTCTTTTCTGTTATCTTCCAGGTATTCCTTGAGAACTATTCCTTGTCTTGCATCTTCCTTCTTTGCAGAACGGTTGTACACGTTTGTTTGAACATCACTTTCAGAGAATTACAATGTTCCTCAGTGAAGCCAAGTAGTGTATCTGACTTTGCTCTGATGGCTGCAGTGAAGATATATTTTGTAGCTTCGTGTTTCAGTTTCTGAACGTTGAACTTGAACTGTTGTCTGTCTCCAGTTGTTCTGAAGGCTTTCAGTTTGACCTTGAAGGTTCCCTGACCTAGAAAATGGTCTTAGCTAGCGTCTTCTCCCCTTCTTGAATTTTTGTTCAACAGACTGTGTCTTCACTCTCTTGAACAACATAGAGATGAAGTTCATCTGGTTTTTGGTGTGCCATTCAGGTAAGACCCATGTTGCCTTGTGTGTATCCTTATGCTTGTACACGCTACCTCCAATCACCAAATCACTGAAGGAGCAGAAGTCTTAGAAGAGTTCTCCGTTATCATTCATTTCATCGACAACCTCTCGATCCATGATGAATTATCTTCTTGTATTGTTTGCTCCCAGTTTAGCATTCATGTCTCCGACTGGTATTTTGATTTCGCCTAATGGTAAAGTACGCCGAGTAAATGCAAACATTAAGAAGGTATCAAGGAAACAGTTGGAAGTGAATTAAGAATTTACGAGTGATGTCGTTAGCAAGGTTCTAAATATCTGTTTGATGAATTCAGCAAAGAAAACACCTTTTACTGTCACTGTACGAATAACCTACACAGGCCGTTGTGAAATGCACCTGAATGTTTGAGAAAATATTGCCTCCACTTTCTGATTCCGTAAGATTCATATGTCAACTTACTCTTTTGAAGCTAGTTACATTGAGCATTTGTAGAGAAGCATATCCCGTTGCGCTCTATAGTACCTCTCGGCTTAGACCAGAAAAGAGATCATGGAGTCATTTATTCATCCGTATTACAACATGCAGTAGACAATAACCTAGCAGCCTCTAATATACCTACCAATATCAGCTACAAGGTTCACCAAAATTAACCAACGTGTATGCTATTACCTTTACCTTACACACAGGAATCCTTGTCATTACAATGTTAGAAATTCGAGTATAGAAACCAGTTATGCAGTCATTTCTGTTGTATATACCCTGATTTTATCATGGTTAACACGTGATTTACAAAAAACTTGTCTCCCTTATCCGTGTCATTTATATTTACTTATTTTTTATTTTTTATTGTCGTTTCGTTCTGTTAAGACTTATTTCAATTTACATTACCACATTTTCCAATGACTCATTTTAGTTTTCCATCTTAACGAACTCTCATAGTACCATTTCCTCTCTCTAAACATACTGAATCTTTCTGTAAAAATTACCCGTATAATTTATCTACCCTATAATTTATCTTCTACTGAAATGTGTGTTGACCTTTCTGTATTCATTCACATTTCTACTGAACGATACTCATAAGCATCTGAAATGGTATAATCACACTTCACTGTTTCCGCTCACTTTCAAAATTGAACATAAATACACACAACACACACACTTGTTGTTGTCTATTCTCATTCACATATATAAATATGAAATTATCATGAAGATAATTTCCCTAGCTGAAATTTTTGTTTTATGTCTCAATAGGGATTATTAAATAGAGTACTTTTTCAAGTATTGTTATTCACTTTTTCAGCACAAGTGGTTTGAAGTTCATCAATCGTCTAATTATAGATGAAAGTCTGAGTACTGAACACAACGAAATCGAATCTTTGAATAAACATAATAATGATAATTGTACTCGTCTCTCTAGTTGAATTCTACAAAATAGAAATAAACAGCATTTATGTAGGGTTGAAAACACTTGAAAAAATATTTTTTTATTACTGACTTGATATTTTCATCGACAGAAATTGTGAGTTAGACGGTGTGAATAGGTAGTGAATGCCTACTGAATTATAATTGTTAATAAACAGCAAAATATGATAATGAATTATGAGGTTATTCTACCATCATTTATTTATCAATTTATCAACGGATTGAATGAAGAAGTCTCCAGCGATTATAATCTCTCATGAAATTGTCTCGTAGTTTGCATGATGACTGACATACTGCCCAACTGCCTAGACCGAAGCAAGTAGTTGTCTTAAGGATGACCCGCAGAGATTTTGCTTGAACCTTATGAAGAAGGCAGTGGAGCTGTGTTCCCATAGCACCAGTGGCTAAATTAGGTTCATACGCCATTTGATCCGTTTGGATTCTAGAGCCCATATACACCATAGGCTTGGAATCAAGGTTTTCCATCTTCCCTAGGTTGACCCACTAGTCTGGTTGTAAGCGCTTGATGCTTCCATTCATCCTTTTTTCACTCCTATCAGCCCCACACCTGCACCATAAGGGAATTCAACAGGACTTGCCTGGCATAGGCTGTGAACGCGTGGCCACATGAGAGCATTTCGAGAGGAAGACTAAAGTCTACTCACTTTCAAGGCATACCAGATAATTTATGGGGTGAACAAGTCTCTAAAATACCAAATCACTGGACTAAAATATCTGTCACTTAAACCTCTCAGTCTACAGAGGTTCACCAATAACCCCCTGAATAGAAGTAAAGTCCCTTAAGAATGCACAAAAGATAAATCTGGCGGCCTGTTTGACACCTGGGCTACCTTTCCGTACATCTACATATTTGCATCTAATACATCATGTTTTCATTTTTAATTTTAACAAAATATGATCACAAATCGTATCAAATACAGTAATGAATTCATTAAATGTTTTAAACCATATGACTTTCATGCATCTAATAAAACTAAGAGAAAACATCATGGTGGTTGGCTCTCAAACGGACACCTTTATATCGCACAACTATTCCTGTTATTTTCAGTTCAAACTGCCGTTCACTTCCCAACAAAATTATGCATCTCCAGTCTCTTTTATCATCTGATACTTATCACAATACTGCGATAGTTGCATTACAAGAAACATGGCTCCATGATCTTTATGATGACAACCTGGTTTCTATAAATGGTTTTACATTGTTTAGACAAGATCGACTATGCTCCAGAAAGAAAAGAGGTGGAGGTGTTGAAACTTTCATTCATTCTCAGTGGTTAACTTCAAATAATGTTTTTTTCCCTTTCTCTAGTGACTTTATTGATTGTATAACAGTCAAATGTCGTCCAAAACACTTATCCAAGTTTAAAGATGTCCTCATCTCAAACATTTATGTTACTCCTGGTTGTTCCGCCTCGGATCTATCTGATTTTGCTGATGAATTCACAGCATTCGCTGTTACACATCTCGAAAACTCTTTATCAGTTGTCACAGAAGATTTCAATACATGCGATTGTTCTTTTCTTGAATCATTAGGTCATGTCAATATTGTTAAATTTCCAACTCGACTTGATAAAGCACTGGATCTAGTATTTATTAATGATGCGGAAATATATGAAGCACGCAGACGTGCTCCTATAATGGACTCTGATAAAAAAAATTACCACAACTTTTAGGAGGTCTGTTAGTGAAGAATGCCATAAACTACTGATCTTACTGAATAAGGAAAAGAATACTCACTAGTAACATATTTTTAGTTTAATCATTCATGAGTTAAAACGTATTTAAAATACCAAAATATTTACTGATTTTGATATTGCTTTTATTTCTTTCACTGTGTTATATCAGATCATTATTATGAGCTTGTAATGAAGATAATACAATTAATAATGAAAATAAAAGTATTTAAATGCATCACAGATGTTTTACAGTTTTATAATCATTTACATAGTTATTGTTATCTGTTCATTTAATATCGCATAGTGTCTATGGTATTACATTTTCACTTGTTTTTTGCCACATGAAATGTACTATACACATGAAAATATTATACTAGGCTAACTATAAATACATTAAATACAATAAGATGTGATAATCGTATCTGGGGTTCATTTTCATGTATGAGAATGTGATGAAACCAGGCAGGCAAGAATATTTTATTGTGCAGTTTAACAATCTTAAATAAGCAATGAAGAATACAAAAATAGTTATTTCCCGCCCCCCACCACCATCACCAAGAAAGGTTGATCTGCTTTTCTGATTCTCATTACTGTTATTGGTAAAGTAGCAGTTTAAATCATACACCGCAATTGAGAATATATTTCAATGAGTTAAAACCCGACAGAATTGTGAATTATACCATTTAAAACTCATCTGTACTACTTAAATTAAAAAAAGCCAAAAGCCAGAGAGAAAAAGAAGAATATGACAAAGTAGAAATGAGAATATGGAAGAGAATAATTACAAAAGTGTAAAGATGGAAAATTGAATATCCCAAAAAAACCGAAATATGAATACACTATGAAAAATCATTCTTCTCTTTAGAATCTGTAAGGAAAGATTCTTTTTTATCATTGGACATTCTATTGGAAGTATTATTATTATTATTGTTATTTGCAGATTGATTACGAAACGGTAAACGTAGATTAGAACAAACATCAGCTGCAAATGAGGCTATCCTTTCTTTTGGCTCTTTAGGCAGATGTTTATGCATAGTGCTTTTCATTGCAGATGACATAAGCACAAATGTTGACTGAATAATTTCAACACCTGTAGATCCAGAGTTTAATTTATCTTTGATTTGTTTTAAATCTAATTGTCGTGATGGTATAGACGTTGATTTTTCAGTAGAGGATTGCGTTTCTTCTCTAGATAATTGAGAAAATCAGAGGGAAAGTTCAACAGTGTGGAAATGAAACAAATACGTGTTTTCAGGATGTTCTTACAAAGAATATTGTGTCAGTATACACGTTTATAGGTCAAACAGACACCTTGGTAAAACAATGCAATACTACTTAGTCTATAGAAGAAATGGGTAGGTAACATGTAGCATAATAAATTGGAATAAATTGAAATGAACTCAGCAAAATGAAGCCTGTTTTCGTTCAGTGATAACTGTTACCAGACTAGATTTGTACAAGTAGTTGAGAATCACTCAAGTTAAGTAGTATGCTTCTCCATTCAGGTCGGTATGACGTGTTAAGTGAACCCCGTTTTCTTAGGAATAGGCTTATCAGAAACACTATGCAAGTTTCTTCTGTTAAAAGTTCTTCTGGTATAACCCAACCCTTACTCCTACAATTCGTTAACTCTCGCATTCTGCCTATTATTCTCTATTTTTCCCCCTTAGTTTTTCCCGGGCTACTGAAGAAAGACTATAACATATTAAGCAGGATGTTAAAGGTTGTCAACAGGGTAAGCAATGTGCCACTTAATCAGCTTGTTAATATTCTGGTCGACAGGCACATGGACTCATGTGAAAAATGAGTCAAATCCATTTTATCTAACTCACACCACCCTCTTCAATCACAACTCTCCCCTTGCATCTTATCAGGCAAAGCCATAAGCCTATATAGAAAACTATATGCTCGCACCAGCAAGTACAAAAACTCAACCATACCCTACTTAACTCATGTTCTGTGATATAAAGAAAGCATTAGGCGTGACACCTATAATTCATTAAATAGTCAGTAGTACAACTGGACCTCGTCTTTCCAACTCACATCATCAATAGGTACAACATTTTCTTTCTTTCTTTTCCTCTTCTCTCTCTTCTTTTTCCGTTATGTGCGGCATTGTTTCTTTCTCTCGCTTACGCCAGATAATAAGACAGCCCCCACTTTTCTAACACCTCCAAACACTGTTTCAGCTTTACCTTTGCTACCGACATGCCAATGTACTGTTGTAATAATGAACTATGGTTTCCTTAATCTATGTAGAATTCTATTTATTGATAATGTGCTAACTGGATGCAATACTGTAGTAAAAATGCTGAGAATTCCATTCTGTATCACAAATACTGTTTTGGAATAAAGCAAATTATTATTATTAAAAATAAATAGATATGCATTCGTTTCGAAAATCTGAATTAGTGCAAACCATCCGCCTGAGAAGGCCCGTATACAGGTTTTTATATGATGTAACATTCCATCAACCTCTCTCTATATATAAATTATCAGTGTGTAATATAAACTATCGTCAGTCTAGCCTCAAATGAATTCATCATGTGTCTTGCATCAATGTCATCTTGATGTGGGTAGTAAGCATCACCTTATACTGCGAATGATTGCCATCTCATCATGTTACTTAATTACTTAGCATACTAATAATATTTGGGGTTAAGGTGTCAGTATTTGTGGTTTCAAACGAGGAGCACAGAGGAAACATTCGGATTTTTCCCAAATACATGAATTTTCTCCAAACACTTGGTCGCTGGATAACAAGAATCATGGATCTTACATATAAGTCGACTATTTATGCGGGCCGTATATCAGTGAAAAAAATGAAAATTCACTAATTTATGTCTTGCAACTTTATGAGCAGTTTGCTCTTCAATTACAGGTGTAAATTGGTGTAAAAAGGTAACAGTCGGGCAATAAATTGCATAAAGAACTCACTGGTACCTACAGCAAAATCTTGGTCCCCTAAAGTTGTACTTACCCAATTTTAAGGAATATTTACATTTACATTTGGTCTGTACTTGAAAGATTCCAAGTTGAGTTTTACAAACAATCATCTTACTATAGCTGCATGGCGACTTGTTGCCTTCAGAATTTTAGAAGTCTTATTTTCTACTTAATTACCAACATTTTAGCGAATACCGCATACGTTTTTCCTGTCTGGATTACTAATGAACAATTTAAATACAGCTCACTATGTCAAGCGTTGATTTTTTAACCGACTCTTTAATCTGTCTGAAGGATGGTTGTAAACTGGAGGCTATTTTCGATTTTTTTCAGGTCAGTGGAACTTTCCTGTTTTGTAACAGTATATTTGAGATCAAGTACTTCACCTCATTGTTAAGTTTAATTTTTAAGCATAAATGGTATCTGCGATGAATCAAATACAAGGTATCCATGGTTTATTTGTGATGCATGTCTTGTACATTTGTTATGTAAATTAGTTAATGTTTATGTGTTGTTTCAGATGACAGTAAAATCAAGTCTTTCAATAGATATGCATTCATAAAGAACCCTATCCACTATATGATTTGCTTATATTCTGATTGATGGATACGTTTAGACAGTTAGGTTATTTATTAAAATTTCTAATGACAAGTACTGACTGAAAAGGTCTTCTAAGTTAGATGTAGCAAAGGATGCTGTCTAATGTTACTGCATGTTGGTGACACTATATCGCAGAAGCAGGAATCCGTAGGCCCCTGAGTCCCTACCTGTGGGCTGGGTTGAAAATACCATCGGCTTGTAACTTACTGGGACCACATTGTATCTCTGACATGGAATTTAGCGTTGATTAGACACTAGTAACTAGTGTGATGTGTCTAGTCCTTCCTTTGGTGTAGACTGAATTCTATCAGTCAGGTTTGCAATGTGGCCACCATTCTAGGTAGCACGGTATACATTGATTTGATGAAATTAGGTGGTTGGAGGCAATCAGTAGGAAGCCTTGGACCTAGGTTTCGTGCAAGTTGGCACTCACCAGTCAGCAAGGCGTATCTGCAACCTTGAAGTAACTCATGTCCACAAATTGCAAACCTGAGCGATAGAATTCAGTCTGCAACAAATATAGGACGAGACACAAACATCACACTAGTTACTAGTGTCCAATCAAAGTATCCAATACAGTCCTACAGGAGGTCAGTCACGAGCCCGAATAACTCAGTGGTAACGTCTGTGACTGCAGCATTGGGTGACGTGGGTTCGAATTTCAGAAGGGACATAAGTTCCTTTGAGTTTGCAGATACGCCTTGCTGACTGGTGAATGCCAACTAGCACGAAACCTACGTCCAGCTGGGCTTCCTACCGATTAGAGAACCGTTAGAAAACCTGGGAGTACTGGACAGCTGTTTCGTCCTAGTTTGGGACTCTTCATCAGTACGCACCCACCGGGGTTCGAACCCAGGACCTTCCGGTTATAAGGCGAGCTCGTAGACCATTAAGCCACAATTCGTATTTATTCACTTACTTTTGTTGAGTTGGATCCTGTTTTACATGAACGTTAACTTGAATAGATGTTGAACAACTTCCTGTTGATGTATACTCAATATTGTATGTGTGATGCTCTTTTATCGACTGATATATTTCGTAAAGTAAGTTGAAAGGCACACGATTTTGAAAATGTTTGATCAAATATTTTTGCATAAATAGATCGCAGCTGAATGGAATGAAGAAGAAAAACGAAATCCCATGAGAGTAAAAAACAACAGTAAAAAATACTAAAAGTTATTGCAAAATGCTTTTTTAAATATAATAATACTTACATAGAACATTATCCACTATTCATTATTATAATTATTGATAAATGTTTGGTAGTCTACTCTCCATGGTCCTTTAATAGGCTTTGTAATGCATAAATGTATTAAGTTTCATAATGTAATTGCTGTCGTCTGTTATAAGTTAGTCCTTAGATGCACAGTGCATCAAAGAAACAGCTCCACACAATTTTGAAGTATAAAGTCGGAAAACAGAATTGTTCCAGACAACTAATCATGATGAATAACTATTACATTATTATTATATGAATAATCATCCCCTTCAGGATCACTTTAGAACATCAGCATTTCAACCTGTTTCCTACAGTCCACTTTAACTGGCTTCACAATCGACCATAGGCTCTCATCTCCTCCTCACACAATCTCCTTCATATCGTCCTTGGACGCGTGCCCAGCTAGCCAGTTCCCATCCGGGTCCCACTCGAGGGTTGGCCTGTCGCATGGTATCACTCAATGGCCTCCTCCTCCATTTCATTCGGTATATTTGTAAGGCCTTAGTTTCTTGATAATTCGGTTGCCGGAATTCCTTGTTGCTATTCCTTTCTGGCCGGTCACCTGATCTTCAGTTTCCATGGAAGGCAGCAGCTATCTATAAACGTCTGCAACCTGTGTCAAAATGCCTTTCGTGACGCGCCCGTCAAGTATCTGAAGCATATGGAATTTGTTGTTTATGCTCAATGCATTTGATTTTCACACTGACTTCAGATTAGAGAAGGTATGTCTTGACTTTCTGATCCTAGCCGGTTTCAGCATCCTTATCCGTGTCGTCTATAACTGAAATCATGCTGTCTAGATGAGCGAAAGAAGTGACTTTCTTGATGCTTGGATTTAATCATTTTTTGTTGTTCACAACATTCCATTCAACAGACCTGACTTAAACAGTTTGAATGTCTTCACAAATTACATGGAGTAAGAACAATTAGATTTCTAAATGATGCCAACCAGTGCTACCACTGTCCGATTCTGACTCACCGTCAAACTTTTTCAGGCCTGCAATGGACACACTGATCGATCACTAGGGGATAACCGACGTCATGAGTTCAGTCTTTATTGTTGGTACTGAGTGAATATGATGAGTACAGTTTAGAATATGATAACCAAATTAGGTGACTCGCCATCAAGGTGCATTTTGAATCAATATAAGTTAAGAAGCCTACTACACTGAGAGTATAATATTATTTACTAGCGATCAATCACTGTAAAATCAACCTTGACTAGTCACGAAAAAATTAAACTAGTAGCAGGGGAAAAAATTAGAAGTTGTCGGTAAAAAACTTTGCTTTCCGGATTTGTATTACATAAAAGTTATTCGTTTGATTTCCAGTTTATTTTATCCCGCTGTTGTTGTACCACCAATCAAGAGTCTTGATGACTCTTACTCTAACTAGCCAAAGCATAGCTGCTCTGTTTAACTGTAAGTGTTCTGTACCCATAACCCGTGTAAAGACCAGAAACTGAAACACAATTAGAAATTCTTTGGAAAACGGAAGTAAAAACCAAATGTTTACATGAATTATCCCAGCGACCGATAGCTGCTACCTTGACGTGGTGGTCGGGCTTGCATATCGCAATGACCCAACGAGCTACACTGGCTGGAATTTATGTTCCTGTAGGTCCTACCATGCCAGAAAGGTTGTTTGGATAGCGGTTAGACAAAAAGCAGCTACCCAATCCAATACTATGACTCAAACAAACTCACAAAATATCATGCCGGATTGGTCGGGGCCCGGATTAACAACGACCGCGCTTCCTGCTGCTGTGTCACAGGGCAGAAGTGATAAATATGCTACTGAGACACACCAAACAAGAAAGAACAACCAAAAACAGGCCGCGTATGAAATACACATATAAATATTTATATATAAGGTGTATAACCACTCAACTGATTAGTATAAGATTAGTTACTGAGTTACGAAAATATCTCCACCATGAAAAAATGTTCACTAATTGCCAGTTTACTGGAAAAATTTCTCTAATATTAAGGTTTGTACCCAGCATTCACAAAAAAAACTACCAATTATTTACTCATCAAAATCAGTTTATATTAAGATTATACTACCGTTTTTATGAAGTAATGTTCAATTTCATTGAATGCAAACACTATTTTTCAAATGACATTAAGCCACTAGGTTGGGAGATTAGAAAATGTCAAATAAATGATATTGAGAAATCTTTTCTTTTCAATATTTTTTTACAATGTCAGTAGTGCGTGAGGGTTACGACGATATGTCTCTCTGATTTATTTTTCCTAGCTGTTACTTCCCACTCTGATGCCAAACCTCTTTTTTATATGCGTGATCAAATTTCTTCAGTTTTGAGATTTTAAGAAAGAGTAGGGGAAAGTAGACACACAGAAAGAAATAACCAAAATCCAATCTTACACACATACACCACACCACACTATAATCTTTACTGAGAGTTTTTATTTCATTCTAGCTTAAACGTGAATAAAGCCAAATAAATAGCCACGAAAAAAAATAACGGAATATTTCCCTGAGTTTTAGAATCTCAGTGTTTGTCTTATGGTAAAAAAAAAATAGCAGAAGGAAACTTTTGCACAGACGCAGATAAAAACGACTGAAAAACAGGGTGTTTTCTTTTTTTACTGAATGAAATGAGTGAAGGTATAAATCTTCAGATATTTCGAAGGGTTTACTATATCTGGCTTATAACACAACAATCAGCCGTTTCTTAGAATAGACTATAGATATTTTGAAAAAAACAGAGGAGAAAAAAATAGAATTAAATTTCTGGCCTTTGAGAACTTCTTAAAGTGAGCAGTTATTAGTTGTTTTGTTTTGTTGTTTTTTTTACCATGGGAACAGAAATTTGAATAAATGAGAAGATTCGTTGTGTTAATTAGATTTTAGGTATACACTTTTCTGTGTAGTCTGATGTTTTTGAAGTAATGTCAGTAAAAGTGTCTTAGAGTAATCTCTTTATCTGCAATGGTAATAAGTACTTGCTTTTGTGTTTAGTTTTGTTACGATCATTTGAATTCAGAGTATTCTTTCCTTGATGTTACAGTAATCGTACTTCTGTTGGTCGGCCGTATCGTTGAGTAGAAGTAGTGATTTCAAGTGAATACACTGGCATAATAGTGAAAGCTTTAGACTAAGATAATGAAATCTTTTCTACCATTGGGTGAATTAATTTAGACAGGGTATTCCTCCACTTCATTTAATGTGTGGCAATTCGTTTTCCGTGTCAATAATTATTTAGGATTTCTCGTCATCGAAAAAGCAGAAATTATGCAAAGGTTAGACAAAGTATGCTAGTATAAACGTAGGGTTGGTCGAAATCTCAATAGCTAAGTAGCACTAAATGACGTAAATTTGAATCACTCTGTAAACATCAGTCGTATGAAATTTGTAGATAGGCCATGGTGATGAATGCCAATAAATTAAAGACGGGAGCCCTCTACGAATCAACTTCTCCTGAAATGTGATGACAAGAAGTCAGTTTCAAATTGGATAGCTACGACTTCGTTCCCACTTGCCTATGGTTAGTCCACCTTAATATGTTGTTGTTGTTCCCTTGGGTTCCGAGGCGAACATAGGGCTTCAACAACACATCTCCACTTTCTTCTGTTTTCTGCCATCCTCTTCAGCTGGATCCACGATTGGCCATAATCTCTCATCTCCTCCTCCAAATCACACTATCTCATCCAAGTCACCCTCGAACAGACGACTCAGTCGTCGCTTCCCATCCGGATTCCACTTAAGCGATGGCCTGGCGCGCGATGTCACTCGAAAGCCTCCTCAACGTATTCCCCATCCGCATCCATTTTCTCCTACAAATTTCTTGAGCAGTCGGCTCTAGGTTAGTTTTTTCCCAGCGAAGAACAGGATTAAAAGTCAATCTGAACGAAGAATATTCTTTTCAATAATTTCTCTTCAGGTTCTTACAATTATAAAATATAATATTTGTTGTCGTTACAATAAGGCCAGTTATGCGGCAGATACATTTTTAACGTAGAATAACAGATTAGTTATGGGGTGTCAAAATAAATAGTCGTATTTGTGTGACAAACGTGCTAGGCTGAATTCGATTACAAAATAATGTAAAACGGGAGACAATGGTGATTAATCATAATAGATTTGTAGAGTGGGGGTAGGAAAATTGACAAGTCAGTTCAAGGTTATAAAAGGGTGTCAGGTGAGTGGCTAGTACAAAGTGGTCTGTGTTAAACAGGAGATAGTAAGACTGCATTGGGAGGTTCATAATGAGATAACGAATATGTGAAATGAAACAGGTGGAGGCATATATTGAGAAAAGAGATTATATCACTAATAATAAGTCCGGATAGTATAAACGAAAAAAAAATTCGATAGTATTGAGAGAATGTTTGCATGATGGGCATAAATTATGACGAATAGTGATAATATTAATAATAATAATAGTAATAATTGTAATAATAAGCAAAGGAAAAAAAAGCCAAGAGGGTTAAGGGGAAGGAGCACTCTTGGTGAGAAGAAGAATCTTCAATCCAAGTTTGGCCACGGTAGGAACAGCGTCTGGACGTGTTCTTTTTGGATACAAAGTTCCGGTTTAGTCGATCTTATTGCAGGATTGTTATTTGAAGTTTTTGTATTTTCAATATATTTTCTGTACGTTGAAGTTTCTCTAGCGGTTTGATAGGCTTAGTAGTGTGGGGTTGCTAGCTCCATGCCCAATTCTCCCTCTTTATCCAGGCTTGGGACCGGCTAGAAAACTAACAAGCTAATTAACTAGGCGAGGTTCTTAATGTATATTACAATAGGTCAAATGAATTTATTGTTTCAAGGAAATGAAAATTAAAAGTTATGGTTATTAATATTTTTTTCATTTTAGTTATCAAAAAAAGACTGGAGACTTCTACATTAGGGCGTGCCAGTCTAGA